GAAAATTGGAGCACTCAAAGCCTTTGCAACATCAGTGCAGTATTGGGAAGATCTTCCAGCCTTTGGATCAGTCGTAAAGGCCACTTGATTATTCACTACAATATGAATGGTTCCACCAGTTGTGTAATTTGGAAGAGCACTTAAATGCAATGTCTCATAAACAACACCTTGTCCAGCAAAGCTACCATCACCGTGGAGCAAAATACCCATATTCTTTGTTCTATCCACATCATTCGAATAATATTGCTTTGCTCTAGTTTTTCCAATAACAACTGGGTCCACAGCTTCCAAGTGACTTGGATTTGCAACTAAAGATAGATGAATTCTCTTACCACCCCTAGTAGGGCGATCATAAGAAGTTCCCAAGTGATACTTGACATCACCAGTTCCCACATAACCAGCTCCATCCGCAGGTTTTGTACCACCGGTGAACTCACTAAAAATTTGCCTTAGTGGCTTTCGAACAACATTACCTAAAACATTTAATCTACCTCTATGTGGCATCCCAATTACTATGCTCTCAACTCCCAGATCTGCTGATCTGTCGAACATCTCCTTCATGCCAGGAATCAAAGTCTCACAACCTTCAAGCCCAAATCTCTTGGCTGCCACCCACTTGGTGGCTAAGAAGTTCTCAAACTGAGTACTCCACATCAACCGGTCAAGAATAACTTCACGTCGTTCGCGGTTGTACTCCCTGGGTGTAGGAGTTTCAATTCGTTCTCTCAACCAATTACATTTATCACGATCAGAAATGTGCATGTACTCAAAACCAATGCTGCCACAATAAGCCTGCTCAAGCCTTGTCAAAATCGCCCTCAAGGTTTGCACGGGGCGATTCTCAGACAAGAAACCAGCCATCCTCCAAACACCAAGGAAGAACTCTCGGTCAAGATCAGCTTCAGTGAACCCATATGATACTGGATCCAAAACATCGGGGATATCCCTCTCCTCCAGATCCAATGGGTCTAATTTGGCTTTTAAATGACCATTAACCTGATAAGCTCTAACAAGCAACAGAAGATTCATGCTTTCTTGAATTGTTTGGCCAGAAATCCCAGGAGATGTGGCAGCTAGGCCAGTAAAATTCCTGAAAAAGTTGTCCCAAGATTCATCTACACTACTTGGATCTTGCTCCCAAGCACGCTGAAGCTCTTCAAGGTAGACACTGCTAGTGCCATCTAAGAAGCTATCAGTCAACTTAGAAAGTGGTACAGGCCTCGGGACTGGTGCAGCTTGAGCTTTTGGCCTGACAACTGTGGTATGAAAATATCTGCTTTGTGATGGAATAATGCGAGTTCTTGGCACATAAGAGCCACCCTGAGACACAGCCCTTCTAATGGCAAGCTTTGCCACACTAGACCCAGCTCTAAACCATGCCATTTCTGTAAATCAAGCCCTCAAATCGAATTTAAAAGTCTTCAAAAGTACCGATAAACCCTCAACGAACAAAACTTCAACACACAATCATTATACCTTGAGAAATGACCTAGTAAGAGTAACAGGAAACAAAATAATCAATAATTCAAATGGAAAAGCAGCAAATAGACAGATACTAATCAACATTTAAGATCAATTTCTAGAATGTAAGTAGCCTCCACGGTCTAGTTTGCAGTATTAGGATAAATGGGCCCGCATAGCCCAAAATTGTTATTGAGGATTCATACAGTCAACGGCAACTAGTTTGGTATTGAGGTGTGGTTGATTGATAAAATGGTTCAGCTTTGGACATTTAGTGAATGAAATAAGCCAGAATAGAGAAAAATGATAACCAAGGATTCATACATCCAATCCAACTAGTTTGGGATTGAGGTTTCCTTGGTTGAATAATTTGAATAGTTTAGCTTTAAGGATGAGCATGAAATGTGCCCAAATGAAGCACAATAATTATATCGGATTCAGCACCCAAGGGTTTGGCTTAGAGTTGGATTGATAACCATAAGATCTCAGGTTCAAATCTTAGAAGAAGCAAAACACTAGGTGATTTCTTCGCATGTGTCTAAGCTGCCTTTATGGGTAGAGCAGGTACTAATGGGAGGTAGCAGGTACCATGGAAGTAGTCAAGGTGCATGCAAGAACCGCGGCTATCAAAAAAGAAAATTTGGTAGAGGATTCAGACAGTCTATTGTGATAGTTTAGCTTTAGTAGAAAACAAATCCCTTCACCATTTAAAGTTTTAAGCACCACAGCTATTAAAGCAAATTTTATGATCCAGCAATGTTCCTGCTCAAGCAATTCAAACACTGAAGAATCGAAAATCCTGATCTCCAAACACGACCAAATCTAACACGGAGAAACAGATTTAGAGTAAAATTTCAAAAACCTTATAATTCAAATTGAATGGAGTTTACACGGAATTGTACTAAACTAAGAGCAGCATTGAAAACAATCAACTGAAAACAAAAATACATGAGAACATAGTAAATCTATGCAACGTTAGATGCGGTAAGTTGAAGTATTAAGCACTACTCCTATAAAAGCAAAATTTTACTATCCAGCAGTCCTCCTGCTAAAGCTATTTAAATGCTGAAGGATCGAAAATCCTAATCTCTACAATTGACCGAACCTAACTGAAAAAAAAACAGATTTTACAGTAAAGACAAAAAACAACTGGAAAAAGCAGATTTTCAGCAAAACTCAAAATCTCATCATTCAATTCGAACAAAGCTTACACTGACTTGTAATAAATTACAAACAGCATTTTAAAATAATCAACCGAAAAATGAAAATAGATAAGAACATATAAAATCGGTAGCATAAGAATGGCAAAATGAAGTTTAACACCAGTCCTATAAAAGCAGAAAAAGTCACGATCCAACAGTCCTCCTTCAACAGCTACGCAAACGATACAGGATCTAAAACTCTAATCTCCCAAAGACTACTAAAACTAACTAGAAAAACCAGATTCTACAGTATAATTTCCAAATCACAAAATTCAAATCGAACAGAGCTTACATTGAATCATTATTATTTTTGTAAAGAAAAAAAAAAACAAGCAACAATAAAAATGATCTAAAACTCTAATCTCCAAAAAAAACTAACTGGAAAAAGCAAATTTTCCAGTAAAATTTCACAATCAAATAATTCAAATCGAACAGAACTTACACTGAATCATAATTACAAATTTAACAAACAAAAAAAAAACTTACGAGCAGCATTGAAAATGATCTACAACTCTTATCTCCAAAAAAAAATAGAAAAAAAAACTACAGATAAATTCGAAACCAAATAATTCAAATCGAACAGAGCTTACACTGAATCACATCATTGAAAATGATCTAAAATTTTAATCTCCAAAAAAACAGATTTAACAGTAGAAAAATCACAATTAAAAAACTGAAATCGAACAAAACTTACACTGAATTGTAGCAACTTACGAGCAGCATTGAAATTAATGAACTGAAAGTGAAAATATAGAAGAAGATTCGAAAAATACCTTGAAGAGTTAACAAGTTTTATGGGTTGAGCGAAGCGAATATAATGACTTTCTAGAGAGTGGACGAAGCCACGTTCAAAGTTGAGCAATCAGCATTTAATATTTTAACAATACTTTTTCCATCTCTTCTCGAACCTCACCAGTCACCATTATTCCCTGCAAAATATAATTTTTGGACAGTTAAAAACAAAAAATTGTTATAATAATAATTGTGAATAAAATATATTTTGTTATAAAATCAAGAGAAAGAGACAAAAGAGATAGATAGAAGAAGGGAAATTTTCTTCAAGTGTATTCAAGTCTCATATGTATATATTACAATAGTAAATAGAGTGAGAAATCACTCCAAAGGTTACCATATTAAGTATCATAATAAATAGATACATATGAGACTTGAATACACTTGAATAATAAGAAAATTCCTCTTCTTTTATCTACATCTCTTCTCTTCTTCTCTTTATAATTATATCTCTTATGAGCTTGATTTTATAACATATTTTATATAATACAATAAAAGATAATTCATTGTTCAAAATTATTATTTTTAATAAACTTTTAATTTATCGAAAATATAAATACTCGATACGAATAATTTTTTAATTTTAAAGTTGCAATATATAAGTTAATAGGTAGGGATCAAAGACTTGTGTGATGTGTTGGTTTTATTTATTATGGTTTGACTATTAATTTTTTATATTATTATTATATTATAAAATTTTATTTTATTTGTCAAAAATAATTTATTTTTTTTTATATAATATCCATCTTTTTTCAAAATAAACTGCCCCATGTAAATGGTCTTTTCCTGTGCGTGTTAAGCCACAAGTGTGATCTGGAAACCAATACTTGTCAAAGGCACAGTACATTTTATTTCTTTATTTATTTTCATTATTATTAATTTTAAAGAAAATAGATCACTTTCAATTTTATTTATTTTTTTCCTATTTTATTTACAGAATTATGATATTGCTTCTGATTTTTATTTTTCTATTCGGTATTTTGCGCTACTTTTAGGGATCGATTAATTTAAGTTATATTTATACAAGATCTATTAACGTAAAAAATGTTCTTCAGTTGAATCTTATCGTTTTCAAAACTAAGAGTGGAACACTAAAAATGACATAAAATGGCTTATATATATGATTTCCCCACTATAAAATTGAGTAAAAATGTAAATTCCTGTATTGTAAATTAATAGAAATTATGTTTGTCTTTTTTCAGTTTTTGGAAATTATCTTAGACAGCAACGTTTTAGTCTCAATTTATTATGAAATCGACAAGTTAGTGTAAAGTCACAAGCTAATGCGGACTACCATCATCACGCGCTAAGTGCGATGATAATATGAGTTAGATCTTAAATAAAATATGAGTAAACTATTCACATTGACAAAACAACTTATTCGGGACTGAAGCGTAGCTATTATTAGTCTAAGATTTAATTGAGAGTCTGTTGAGGAAGAAAAAAAAATTAGGTTATAACTCATGCATGCATTATATTTTTCTTTCACCTTCTAAATCAAAGCAAAAGCTAATAGTTTCATGATTAAAACAAGGAAAGGAGATGAAATCCTAAGAGACATAGATAACAAAGAACAATAACCAAACAAAGGCTATTAAGCTGTATATGACAAATAGATTCCAAATATAAAGTAGAAAAGGCCTTTGACACACCAAACTTGCCATCCAATGGCAGATAAATGGTAATGAAGTTCACAAGGATCAGTTTTTCATCCCCACCAATTTGTACATCCAAGTGCAATCAAGAAAACAGTAGCCAACTCGGCTTACGAACCACAGCAAGATGACTTCTGGGCACCTTGACCAGCAGTTCCTGCCTGATCGGATTGGTTGATCCTGATTGACTGAGGCTGCACGAACAGAGAGGACATATTCATACACGAGATGTACTAATAACTCGAGTTCGTTGAAAGAAAAGAATAATGGAAGGCGAAGGAACTATCTGCGTACCTCAGTCTTGGAATCAGATTCTGAAAGCCTTTGCTTGATATCCTTACCAATTGAAAAGAAAACTTCTTCGACATTCAGGTTTGTCTTTGCACTCTGCAGTAGATATTGTCATTTATCAGTGACCTGAACTTTACTACATCCGAAAAAACTTTCAATTTCTACATCAGAAAGAATTGGACTTACTGTTTCAAAGAACTTAATGCCATATTCATCAGCAAGAGCTTGACCTTTGGAAGTTGGCACAGCCTAGATAGGAAAAAGGAATAATAATATCGATAACATCTAATGGAAACTCTTGTGAATCAGAAAAGAAGTAATTGATCAAAGAAGTTGGGACAAGAAATTCCAATGGTTACAATTTTCATAAATATAATAATTACCCTTTTGCTTTCATCCATATCAGCCTTGTTCCCGACCAAAATCTTGTTGACATTATCAGAAGCATGCTGCTCTATGTTGCGAATCCAGTTCCTGATGTCTGAATGGTTCAGTTAAACATTAAACAATTAAGTTAAATCTGCTCTGGCAAATGCTGAATCTGGTTATCAAAGAGCAATTTTTGAAAGGTGGTCATGCAACTGCAACTTGAGACCATAAAACCAGCTTAAGCTCAAAATTGGAACAAAATTATCACATCTCTCAGCAAAAGAAAGATCACACTGAACGATAGAACGTCTACATATATAAGCAGGTAGCGAAAAAATGAATTGAGAAAAAAATCGAAGTTACAAAAGAAGAGCATTGACGCAAGCTAGTGAGAGCATTTACTATTGAAAGAAGACTCGTCCGTGACATCATACACCAGCAGAATCCCCATTGCTCCTCGGTAATACGCTGTGAACAACCAAATTCAAACTTGAATGAGACACAAATTGAAAATGAAAGAAAATTTCACATTTGAAGAGACCTTTTAATTCAATCCCCTAGCAATTTTATTCCAAAGACTTCATAAGTGCTGAGAAACTTCCCAATTATGTGGTAAAGTACATTTTGAAAAATTAAAGTATGTGCATATACAAGTTATCCAATACCCCTGATAAAAGGAATCATTAACCATTGACAAGCTTCAAATCAATATGGTCACTACATATAGCCGCTCCAAACTCTATTTATTTAGGACACAAGTTACACAACAAAAAGTCTTTGTTTCATTTAACCGTTGCAAGGAGCTAACATCCTAGGACATCTGCAGATCCAGAACTAGTAATCTTTATTTCTTTTCACCCTTGCAAAAAGCTAGGACTGGAAACATTTCAATCCAACAACACTCGACTCACTGGGTTTGGATATACCTGTTGTGATAGTGCGGAAACGCTCTTGACCAGCTGTATCCCAAATTTGTAACTTAATCCGCTTGCCATCAAGTTCAATTGTTCTTATCTTAAAATCAATTCTGTAAAAGCAGAGCAATCCGGTAAATATGAAGGAGGAGGAGGAAAAGTAAAAGCCAGGAAAAAGATTGAGAGGAGGCAATAATCAGTGCAATGAGGTATAAATTCACTTTATTTTTCAAGAATGACGATCCCAAACTAGACAGTTCATATAGCATCCTGCACAAGAGAGCACATTTTTTCTACTCTTTTTTTCCAGCACAATATTTTCCTGCTACATTTCAAAGATCATTGGCGTATAACTTTTTCACAGTTTCTTGGAAACTTCTTCAATTATCAGAGTAACACCTCAAATTTCTGCATCATTTGACTAAAACGATAGTCTTGCCAAAGGAAAAAGAACTAACTGTATTGCAGTAATCCGAAAAGATGTACTTCGGTGTCTGAAACACAATCTAAGTAGTAGCTCCAGAGGAGAGAGAGTCAAGGATACAAACCCAATAGTTGTGATGAAACTTGTTGTGAAGGATCCGTCTGAGAATCTCAGAAGTAAACAACTCTTTCCCACACCTATAAATATAACCATCATTAAGTGTAAGGAACTGATAATTGATGTTATACATGGAAAATATCCTCTATTCTTTGGTAATAAATAAATAAGCAACCTACTTAGTGTCTAGAAATATAGTGAAACTGTCGCATCTTCCTACCAATTCAACAATGAGTCTCTTGTGCTTAGAATGAGAGTTTGATCATATTTATGGCCAATTTCCGTCTATCATATGGACAAAATAACCATCCTCGCTCCTCTCATTAAAATACTTCAGGTTTTCAAATGTATTACTACTAAAATCAGTTTTTTTAAAAAGGTTGTGGCCTTGACCTTCATATTCAAATTTTGCATCTTAACTAGAAATCCTTTCTAGAAGCCTGTTCATGGAAGATCTTGCCTAACAATGATAAGTACCTAAAGTTCAACCTGTAACTAATGGTACTCTAGTCACTATGTGAATATAGTAACAACATATTGAAATTGTCCTTTAATTAATTTCAAAACTATTTGAAGTAGGAACATTTATGTTTCAGCAACTCTATAAAAGTTCAACCTTTCGTTTGTGTGTTCTAGATTCAGTTAAAGATGAGGAATAAACAGGGAGAGGTTGTGGTAACTGACCAAGTTCGGCCTAGGATGAATCCTATTAGTACCTTTTTATCTCTTAGGTTGTTCATATATGAGGGCTGGAGTGAAAAGGGTGTTGGATGCAGTATGCACTTAGGTGAATCAATGAACAAATCAAGCATTTTGGTCGAAGCTGGTCAAGTTTACCAAACACGGATGTGAGACATCCATTTATCATATTATCAAAGTGATCCATCAAGTATGGTGAAAGAACAAATGTCCAAAGATACTGAGGTGGGGAGTATAAATTTATGGATGTAATATCTCTATAAATCTGAGTGATTCTCATATCCGCGTCAATTTTTTTCCCAGAAAAGGAGAAAGGTAAAGAAGCTGGTGGTCAACTCAGAATTAGATGCAGCACCCTTGTTGTTTCACTAAGCCTTCTAAAATTGAAGTATCTCCCATGTTCCTACTACTCTAAATTTACAGAAATAAAAGTTGTGTCATCCTTGAGACACAGCTTTGAAATTTTAATTTTAATTTTAAAAGTAAGAGAATACCAAAAAAAGCTTTTTGAACTGACTTTCACAGAAGACCATCCAAATCCATATTCAAATTTCCTAGAGAACACAACAAAATTAATCATAGAAAGAACAAAAAGTAAGCTAAGAATGATGAACTAATCAGTACACATCTCTGGACACTTGAGGTTAAGAGGCTTCACAAGGAAACTGGAGACTTATGAACTCAGATTGCTGAAAATGCATTTGTCAGTGCCCCATCCCTCAATTGCAAGCAAAGACTAGAACTATTTAGCATGAGCTTAACTTAAAAAAGAAACGGAACATAGTATAACCGTAAGGAATATCAAATTGGACAGCAATTGATTAGAAAAATGTTGAATTGGAGCATCACTATGGCTGCACTTTAGGAGCTCCAGACCATGAGAGAACACCTCACAACAAATGATAAAACTTACTCTCTCTGGTCCAATTTATATGACACTTTTCATGCTCTATAACATTTTAAATTATGTCACACAACTCCATTTTTAAATACTACTTTCAAGATCTCAAATTAGATTAAACAACTAAAAAATTTGAACTTATATATTATGTTTGTTCCATCAAATCAACCATAACTTTTATATTCTATTCCATTTTCATTAGTATAGAAATCCAAGTCGATTAAACATATTCTTTTCTATTGTGACATGTCAAATAACATCTTAAACCATCACGGGTACTTGCTACCTTCCACCAACACAAGTACCAGGCAACTCCGCCCACCCAGGTTTGGACATAAGGGAAGAAATGTGCTTTACCACATTACCCGAAGCCCATCTTAACCAAATCTCACCAATTTCACGTAAAGATACAATTTTTTTCCCCAATTGATAAGATTTATTGTGTTATTCTTCTTTTCTAAAACCTTATTTGCCTGAAAATGGATTCGATTAACTTGTGATAAGAAAAGGAACAAATCAAAAGCAAACTAACCGCTATCGCCAATGAGGAGAAGCTTGATGAGATAATCATAATCTGCTCGAGCCCTAGCTGGTGGAGCTGCCATCGTCTTATTCCGATATGTATAAATTTGAATCAACAATCCAAAACCCTAGAAATCTGTTTCTGTAAACACACAAAATGCAAATGAATCAGGCTTTAATTGTATAACAAAAAGAATGAAATTCGTAAATTCAACAAAAAAACGCACCGAACGGAGAGAGAGACGGAGGTTATCGAGCAGGTCAGAAAGTCGCCGGCGACATTGGGCTGAAGGGGAAGAAAAATTGTGAGATGGTAGAAAAAAATCTACCAAAGCCCAAGTGTATATTGGTGTGCGACTTTTGCTTTGTATTGGTATTTGTATTATTTGGGGAAGTGGACCATTTGTTCCTCCAAATTGTTTTTCTATTATACAAATAATTTCTTTTTTAAAAAAAATGGTATTACCATAGATTGTTAACTTTACCATTTAGAAATGATATATATCTTATCGTGAAAGTGATTTATATATACTTTATTGTTATACAAATAGTTGATATATATCATTATCGAGCTATGATTCATTTAACAGAAGTGGAAAAATTATTCCCTCTCCCTCTTGTTACTTGTCCATTTTTTCCTTTTTCTTTGATTACTTGTTAATTTTGACAAATCAAGAAATGAAACTTTTTTGACCCATTATAGCCTCAATTAATTATTTTGAAAACGGTTGAACTTCTTGATAAACTTAATTTTTAATTCATCCATTTTACAATTCATAGAGGTAAAATGATAAATTCGTTATGTCAATAATTATTTTCTTAATAGGTGTGTTATGCAAAAGAGGATAAGTAATTATGGATAGGTAGAATAGTTTTTTTAATCCTTTTAGCAAAATTAAGGTACATTATAAAAAATTTTCATGTAATAATTGTTTTTGACCTCTTTGATTTTTATTATTCGAGTTTCTTATTTTTTTTCTTTTATTCTTTAGTTTAAATAAAAAAATTTAAATCAATTTTTTCGGTAATATTGTAATTTAGTTTGTATTTGTAAAATAAAATTAAAAATTGGGTATCTATGATAAATTTTAGAAGAGAACTAGTTAAATATAAATAAACTTGACCATCAAAATGATAAATTTAAATTTGTCGTTCAAACGAAAAAGTCCAAAAAAATTATGTGTGAGAAGGATCAAATATATCCCATATGTATTTTATCTTTTTTCAAAAATAAAATAAAATTAAATCTCTTCTGTTAGAGGAAAATCGTATATGTGAGTCATTCGTATAACAATAAGGGTATATATGAGTCACTTTCATGACGTGGGTATATCAACTCTACATGAAAGTTAAGGGATATATTAGACTTTTTTCTACAAAAAATTATTTCCTACCAGATGTTTGGTACCCGCGTTGGAGTCCATCTAAATATAAATTTGTGCTGGAAGTCATACATCAGGGAGCAAAATGCTTCCTAATAAAGGTAACTCTCCATACGCAACGAGACCCGAACTAAAAACCTCTTAATTAAAGATAAGAAGTACTTACACTTCATAATCTATCACAACCCTTGTTAGTAGCTTACATTAATATCAATCTGAAACTCAAATCTCGTATTGTAATAGAACATAATAAATTATAATATTTTACATCAATTTTCCTCAACAATTTTACATTGGATAACTTTTATTTAGCTACAAGTAGGATCATCACGTGATTGATTTTACGCAATAAACATTATTCGTTTAGAACAACGAACATTATAATATCAATATCAAAATAAGAGAGATTTATTCAAACTTTCCTTATTTTCACACATTAAATTCAAAGTCACAACACCCCCCCCTAAAAAAAAAAGTTGTAAGAAGGGTAAAAAGATTTTCTAAAAATATCAATGTCACCATGCATAATACATTGGGTAACATATCACACTTTGAAAATTAAGACTAACCTAAAATTATATTAAAAGAGTTATTCGATAAATTAATTGAATTTCCGTTAAAAATATTTAATATGCAAAATTATAATCAAGATTTTAATTAAAGAAAAAAAAGATAAATATATATTTGAATAATCGCATCTCCGAAAAAAGAAAAAAAGAGATAAAAAACAAGAACCCCTCTTCTTCGTATCTGGTCTCATTTTCCCCCAAATACCAATTTTATCGGAGCCCTAAATTTTCTCCATTTTTCTCATCTTTTTCAAATCTGTTTTCTCGCCTCAATCATGGTTAGTCGATTTTATTTTGTATATATAAACTTTATTATATACGAAAATTTTATATATTAAAGATTTTTATTTAGCATTACTTCGATCTATAAAGTATATGTATAATAGACATGATTTTTCTGTAATTTTGATGAAAATTTTGAGTTTGGGTTGCTGATTGCTTAGTGTTTTATGGATCTGATTCAGTTTATTTGTTAGATTGATGTGGGATCTATTGGTTTTGAGCTATGAAGAGCTCTTTTTTTTTTGTTAAATCATTATTTAGATCTTTGTTTCAATGTTGCTTAGTAGTGGTTGGACATTAAAACTGTGATGTATTTGATTAAATGTAAAAATAGTGCTTTGAAGTATAAGTTGGAAAAGTTCTATTTGGGAATTGAAGTTGTGTTAGAACATGCATTTAAGTTGGAAAAAGTTGGAATTTTTTGCTTGGGAAAGATTTTTTTGTTTCACTAATAAAAATGTTTTGTGGAACTCTTTAACTTGAAATTTTTTTAAAAATCAATTCAATGTATAATGAAAAATGGTGTTGAAAGAAAATTGTATGGACAACCAGCTCCAACTGATTTTTAAAAAATGTTTGATTCTTTTGGTCCAAACCTCACGTGTGGGATTACACTGGGTTAGTTAGTTGTTATTGTTGATAATTTTGGTGAGATCATGGTTTGAATTGTGAGTTCTTTGCTACAGCCTACAGGCCTGTCTTGCATGCAGAGTCTTCTGTGTGTTTGATTATAACCCTTTTGTGTTTTGCTCATCTAGATACTGTTCTTGGTAGAACTTCTAGTCTTGCTAGCTTGATTATGAAAAAATCCAGGGTAAATCTCAGATTTCAGAATAGGAGTGTGGATCTATGTTTTATTGGATAAAATTTCTTGCTAGCATTGGGAAATAAGGCTGCGTCTTGACAATTTTTGGTTGACTGAAAAATGAATATTTGATGTTGAAGCTGGATTTCGTTTTTCTTTTTGAAGTTGTAGCTGGAATGAAATCATTATTTTACTTGAAATACTCCTAAACCAGTTATTGAGCGTCAGATTCTATATTTCAAGTTGAAGCTGAAATAATAGACAAATTGTTAAACAAACATGATTTTGCAAATTATGCATGTCCAAGTGCCTACTAAGTTCTATCAGCGCTTTACTCTATTCATAGAATTTCATTGAGGTTCGAAACACCCAAAATCAGTTTTAAGTTAACTTGAAATTTATGAAGTGACGCTGGCGTTGATTATACAAAGTTTCTAGTGCTGGAACACTTGTACCTTGGAAGTTGCATTTGGAGCTTTTATTAATTTTATTGATGTGGTAGTAAGGTCTCACAGGTTGATGCCACTGCTCTTCCCCATCCCTCTTCTGAGGCAGAAGAATTGAAGAATGACCAACCTAATTATGGTTAGGTTGGAAATGGAATTGTCATCTTTCTCTTGTAATTTGTTTCTTCACAGTCATTTGGTGGAGATATTTTAAGTGGGCAAGATAAATTCTAGAAGTAATGAATAGGACTTGAAGATCTGAAATGCTGCAGGCTTTGGTTTCTTTCATTGTTCTTCGTTTTGTTGATTCTTTGTTCTTAGGGGAGGCGGATTATCTGGAAGTGTGATTGGACTGATTGGATAATTTTAACCTAATGATTTATAGGTCTAAGACGAACTTGTTGATCTAGATAGGGTAGTTATCCCATTACTATTCCCCTGTGTTTCTGTTCAATGTGTTGCATTATAGAACGTCTGAGATAATATTGTATATTACAAAAAATTGTAGGCTAACGCAGCATCTGGGATGGCTGTGCATGATGATTGCAAGCTGAAGTTTTTAGAGTTGAAGGCAAAAAGAACTTACCGTTTCATCATTTATAAGATTGAAGAGAAGCAAAAGCAGGTTATTGTGGAAAAGCTTGGCGAACCAACTGAAAGCTATGAGGATTTCGCTGCAGGCCTCCCTGCTGATGAGTGTCGATACGCTGTCTATGACTTTGATTTCATGACAGAAGAAAACTGCCAGAAGAGCAGAATATTCTTCATTGCTTGGTATGTTTGACTCAAATTTGGTGATATAAACTATCATCTTGTCGGTTTATACTCTTGGTTATCATGACCTTTTGTTTTGTCTTTTGTTGAAGGTCACCTGACACAGCAAGGGTGAGAAGCAAGATGATTTATGCAAGCTCCAAAGACAGGTTCAAGAGAGAGCTTGATGGATTCCAGGTAGAGCTGCAAGCAACTGATCCTACAGAGATGGGGCTTGATGTTTTCAGAAGCCGAGCTGGTGGAATTGAATGTTGAGTGTGTGAGTGTCTTTGTTTATGTTAAGTGCTTATAGTTTGTGGGGAAGTAGAACTTGGTTAGTTATACTACTGGCTTGTCGTTCCCAATCACCTTACTCTCTAAAGTCTCTTCTTCTCAGAGAACTTCAATACTTTTTAATCCATGTTATATTGTTACTCATGAAATCAAGGAGTTATCTTCTTACATTGAGCATCATTGTTTTCTTTTCATTGATCATACTCTTTTAAGTCTCATCTATTCAGAGAACTTTTATAGTCTTTAATACATTCTTATTGTTACTCGTGAAGTCCAGGAACATCTTGTCACTTTGAGCATCATTATTTCTTTACCATGCACTTAAGTTACTTCCTTTTCCACCTTTCCCCACCATAAGAAAATAAAAACAGCCTGAATTGAGGTACAACATATACTCGCACGCAGACACAAACACAGTATGTTTAGCTACTTCTCGTCATTCCTTTGGTTATGTTGCTTTTTTGCACGAGATGTTTTTTCAGTCGTGGTTTAAGTATTAAACTGGACTGTAGTTCTAATGGAAGAAACCTATAAACAGAAACTACTTTGCCTAGAAAATAGCATTGTGCATGCCCATCTTGTGTGCTTGGTTGGAGAATCAGTAACAAGTAGGCTTGAAGCAAGAAATGCTCTGAGCTTTAAGCTGCACGAGCGAACTTGCTGAACATAATGTTACTACATATGCCCATGAGTTTGTGTGGTGAGAGATAAGTTGTTAGTAACACAAAAAGTTGAAGAAAAATAGTCGAAAGGTGGTCTCATTTTTTTTCTTTATTCAAGTATGTATTTATTTATACATATATTCAGATTTTGCTCTAGATAAGACAAAATTGAGGTACAAGATCCACA